ACCAATAGGTATCTCAATTTAACATGACCTAAGAACTCACTTATTTTTCTTTATCTCAGTAGGTCATACACCAGTTGCCCAAGCCAAAGATTGAGTCTCTTGTTTCCCAAACCATTTACATCCGGTTTATAGCTCTGTTGATTTTATCGCCCTAATGTCCCAAATATGCACACATCACTTCCACAATAGCCATCCAGACAAGCACAAAAACATTTTAGGGTTTTCTAATTTTTTAATTAAAAAAATTATTTTAAACTGCACATAACATAATAGTAACCATCTTAACTAGTTTTAAGTGTACAGTTCAGTGTCTTTAAGTACATCTACATTGTTGTGTGACAATCATCAAAACCACCCTCTTCTAAAACTCTTCGTCTTGCAAAACTGAAACTCTGTACCCATTAAGTAATAACTCCCTACTCCACCCTCCTCCCAGTTCCTAGCAATCACCATCTACTTTGTTTCTCTATGAATTTGGACTCTCTGGGTATGTCATAGAAGTAGATTCATGCAATTTTTGTCCTTTTGTGAACTGGTTTGTTTCACTTACCATAATGTCCTAAAGGCTCATGCCTAAAGGCATGAATCAGAATTTCCTTCCTCTTTAAAGCTGAAAAATATCCCATTTTGTATATATACCCCAGTTTGTTTATCCATTCATCTGTCGATGGACACCTGAACTTTACTTACTTTTTGGCTCTTCTGAATAATTATACTGTGAGTGCAGGTGTACAGATATCTGTTTGAGTCCCTGCTTTCATTTCTTGGGAGATTATACCCAGAAGTGGAATTACTGGATCTTATGGTAATTCTAATTAAAAAAAAAACTGCAATACTGTTTTTCATAGCATTTGTACCATTTTAAATTCCCACTGGGTAACTTTCTTTTTATTTTCTTTATTTTCCTTCTGTGGGCTAGGCACAATGACCTTCTTTGATATCTCCGTATACGAAGCTCATCCTTGGGGCAGGGGCTTTGTAGCAGTCATTCCCTCTTCTTGTAAAGTTTTCTACCCTGGTATTTGCTTGACTGACTCTTTCTGATCATTCACCTTAGACTCTACCAGGAATACCTTCCTTGAGTCAGTGTCAGTTACTATTCTATCAGCATGGCACTTACAAAATCTTCTGATTTCCTTGTTTGTTTCTTCTTTCCTCTTATTTTATTGGTTTTACTTCCCCAAAAAACTATGTCCCCAGTACTTAGAACTATGACTGGCACATAGGAGATGTACAGTAATTGTTGAAATGTCATGGGGATTAATATGGTAAGTTTCCTAATGTGCTATATGTGAATACTACTCCTTAGTGGAAATTGGTCGTCACTCAAAACATCATAACTATTCTTTTTTTAAAATTTTGTTAATGTTTATTTTTGAAAGAGAGAGAGCATGAGTGGAGGAGGAGCAGAAAGAGAGAGACACACAGAATCCAAAGCAGGCTCTAGGCTCTGAGCTATCAGCACAGAGCCCAACACGGGGCTCAAACCCAAGAACCGTGAAATCATGTCCTGAGCTGAAGTTGGACGCTTAACTGACTGAGCCATCCAGGCACACTGCACCCAACCCCCCAAAATAATAACTCTTCTTTAGGAACAAATTAAACCAAGATAGAATCCATAATTCCAGAGTATAACCAAGAATGGCCATTGACCTAGTTACTCTGATAATTCAGATTTCAGTAGAAATTTGAGGTTCATTAATTTGGATATTTCAGGCAAAATGTGTTCTTTGGTTTCAAATTATTTAAATAATTACCTTAATACTTCTCCATGCTTTATATACTCAATATTGTCCTAGAGGTACTTGTAAAATCTTTCATGTACTTCTGAGTAGTGAATTTCAGTTTCAGCCTTCAAACCGAGAGGTCTCATGTCACATACTTTCATGGCAAATTTTCTGAATTGATGTTTTATAGTTCATTCCAATAGTAACCATTTTCCTAATCCGTAAGGTCATCTATGTTAGAGAAAACTGATTCAGGTAGCATAAAAGGAAAATGTCATTTCTGTTTTCATATTAAGAAGTGAGTAGGTGGGTACAAAGGGGCTATTCTGGATTACGAATCTCTTAGCACAGTTATCTTTATGATGAGGCCATATATTATAAATGGGTTATGTCTCACACTGCCTTGATAGGCAACTTTTCTTATGGCCCTATGATCTTAAGGGTAGTAAAGCGCATTAAGTATTTAGAGGGGGAGCCAACATGTATTCTTATGTATATACACCCTTAGTTTTTATCATGTTAAAATTGTTCCCAGTTTGGATCTAGGATTAAAATTCCTTTCATACAGTGAAAAACAAACAAACAAACAAAAAAGACAAGTCCTGTGTACCAAGAGCCCCTCTTCTTCAAGAGCCAGTTTGTACACTCATTACCACAGCCCCTTTATAACACTCCAAGATATGTACTTCTGTGTGTATGAACCTTACTAACCTGCAAGGGAACTACTCTATGGTTTGCAGAAAGATGGAGAAAGTTATTGTTTTGAAATATTTTAAATATTTTTTTTCCTTTTATTCTAAAAGATGTTGAGTATCTTCATTAAAATCATTAGGTTTTCATATTGTCTTTAAAAAGTCATAGCACTGAATTCATTTTCTAAATGTAAGGTTAGGCAGATTGTCTTGCTGTTTTCAATAATGACTGCAAAACCTCAAAAGTGTTAAATAATTCTTTGTAGAACCCATTACATTTTGAGGACACTGGACAGCCTCTGTGGCAATAGAGTTGAAAAGTATTAATCCATTCCTTTTATGTCTTTTATTACTTTTACTTAGGGTTTCTAGTGGAAAGTCCCTTACATTGTGTTTCTGTTGTTAAGGTTTATGTCCATGTTTTGAGATAATTTTTTTATGACACCTTTGCATATTATGTCACAGGCTTCCTCAGAGCAGACAAATAAAACTTCTTCCCTTTCTGTCACAAATGGGCATCTTTGGGCAGGGTGGGGGCTAGAGGGGTGGGGGATCTCCTTTAGAAAATGCTGCTGATGTAACATCTTTAGGATGTAGCATCTTTTAAAAAGCTGTTATTATGGGACCTGCTTTAAAAACTTTTAAAAGACATGTTCCCATATATCACTTAAGCTAGAAGTATGCATGTTGAAAGTGGATAAAATTGGTAATAGAGATTATATCACCTTTTGCTATTACATCAAGGAAACAAATATGTTGTAACATTACCTGTAATCATCAAATTATTTTGCATAATCTGACATTTGTTACCTTTAGAGATTACCAGTTAAGAAAGAAATAATGGGGGCTCCTGTGTGGGTCAGTCGGTGAAGCGTCCAACTTCAGCTCAGGTCATGATCTCACAGTTCATGGGTTCAAGCCCCATGTCAGGCTCTGTGCTGACAGCTCAAAGCCTGGAGCCTGCTTCAGATTCTGTGTCTCCCTCTCTCTCTCTCTCTCTCTCTCTCTCTCTCTCTCTCTCTGCACCTCCCTTGGTTTCACTCTGTCTCTCTTTCTCTCTGAAAAATGAATAAAAACATTATTAAAAAAAAGAATGAATGAATGAACACAAATAGTTTGAATAAAGTTCGAATCACTAATATTTTGAGTACCCATTAATTGCCAGAAACTGTGCTAAGCACTTAATGGACTATTAAAGTTTAGATGGGCACATTCTTGCTTAAATTTCTTCCCAGAATACTTACATAATTTTCAAAAAATAGGCTACATATGCCTGTATTAACCCTATCAAAATATTTATCATGGTATATTATAACTGCCTTTTTACTTGTCTTTCCCATTAAACTGTGAACTCCAAGAGTATATGTTTTATGTTTGCCATATTCACTCTTGACTTGTATCCTGATCATCATGGGATACCTTGACCCGTTCCCCCAACATAGTAGGTGCTCATAAATATTTATTAGTTGAATGATGAGAATCATCCAGAAAATGCATCATTTCTTTAACCATGGGACCAGAGGGAAGAAAGATAATGTAAAAGTCAGCATGCTAATTTATTAATTTTCAACACACAATCTCCTTCAGAGAAAATTTATGTCAGGGTAGCACGTACATTTACTCCCTAACAGCTAACATGAGTTGGTGCTACTCATAATGAGTGCTTTTATACTTTATCTCATTAAATCTTCTCAGCATCCTATGCGAATATTACTATCCTTAGCCTCATTCTGCACATGAGGAAACTGAGGCTAGGTCTTAAGGTCTCTCTGAGATGGTGGGTATACAGTATAAGTTGGAATTCTTATTTTCAGAGCTCAGGCTTTGAAGCAATCAATATTTGGAATGCCACTTTAATTAAAAGGTAATCTCAGAGAAGATAAATAACTTCATGAGGGTACACAGCTAGGAAGTGACAGAGCCTGGTATTAAATGAAATTTGCACACTCCAAAGTCTGTGTGGCTACCATCTCGGCCACTGTCTCTTTTTCTTCAATAATGAATGCACTTTTCAGAGATGCACTAAATTATGGGTCAGGTACAATCTTAATCATGCTGATTTGCCCTAAACTGTTTCACCTGACATTTTGAGAAAGAACTGCTTGATTTTCCTATTTAGTTAAATGAGAATAAAATAATCCTTGGGCAAGACCATTTTTGACATTTCATTTCCCTTCCTATTGTTCTTACATCCTCTTTGATTTCACCCATTAGTGATGATACCTAAGAAGAATTATATGGGGGGAAAACAGCTGAAAGGGGAAAAAAACCTATTAGAATAAGGATGCCTGATGCTACATGCCTATGGAAGGAACTCAGTGCCCTCTCGTGCTTAAGGAATTCTGTGAAACATGGAAAATGGATGCTACATGCCTATGGAAGGAACTCAGTGCCCTCTCGTGCTTAAGGAATTCTGTGAAACATGGAAAATGGCTGACACTAGGGAGAACTTGGGCAATAAGTGATGCACTATTTGGGAATTCATGGAATATGGTATTAAGTGTTCTTTAAATGGGAAGGTTTACCATGCTCTATGTTCTATTATGAGACAGGCTGATGTTTACCCCTCTTTGAATTCTAGAGTCTCAAGTCCCTGACCAGCCAAGCTCTCTTCACGTGAGGCCCCAGACCAATTGCATCATCATGAGTTGGACTCCTCCCTTGAACCCCAACATCGTGGTGCGAGGTTACATAATTGGTTATGGCGTTGGGAGCCCTTATGCCGAGACAGTGCGTGTGGATAGTAAACAGCGATATTATTCTATTGAGAGGTTAGGTGAGTAGCAATGTTTTTTATTCTATTAAAGGAAGTAAATGATTTATGTGAAATTATTTTCTTTCTTGGAAAATTGTTCTTCAGAATTTGATTTTAATTTGTAGCACATATTAATTCTTAAAATGAGTCTCTCTCTTTTTCTATCTCCTGTCAGTCTACACACACACACACACACACACACACACACACACACACACACATGTTTGCATGCACACACATGTATACACACACACCGCTGTTTTTCCTCTCTGAATTTTGCATTGGGGAATTTTATTTAGAGACATTCACAACAGTGGGTGCTCTGCTGTGTACTCTTGTTTATGTGCCAGAGGATACAAAAAGATAATTGTATTAATTTTCTTTTTCCCTGGTCAACAGAAACTTCTAATCTTAATAATTCTTATAAAAAGAAAGTCAACACTTTTTTGTCATTTTTTTCTCACTAGGAGAATATTCTGTCAAGTTTTCTTTAACACTGAATTATCTAGTCACATTGCCCTCTTGTCCTTTAGTATTTATAGGCAAAACTTTGTGACTATGCCATTATGACCATAAAACAAAAGGTGAAACAAGGAATTTTCTTATTTGTTTCATGTTTATTATTCTGAGAGAGAGAGAGAGAGAGAGAGAGAGAGAGAGAGAGAGAGAACAAAGCGGGGGAGGGGTAAGGACAGGGAGAGAGAGAATCCCAAGCAGGCTCCACACCATTATCAGGGAGACCAGTTTGGGGCTTGAACTCATAAACCACAAGCTCCTGACCTGAGCTGAAATCAAGAGTCAGATGCTTAACTGACTGAGCCACCCAGGTGCCCTGAAACAAGGAATTTTCAGTCAAGCCTGTAAACTTAGTTGTCAAACTCCTCTCTGCATGCATTCCAACCTCTTATCATCTTCAACTTCATTTGACTAAATACAATACTTGACTTATGACATTTCCTAATCCATTGAAAATTTGTTCATTTAGACAGGGCTGATGTGTAATGAAAGGGTTCACATCCATTTTATATATGATTTCCCATAGTATAATTAGAGATTATATCATTGACAGAGAGAAATCAAAGGAATATATGTCATACATAGGCTGCTAAGAAGTTAAACTAGTCTCATAAAGCACAAAGCAAGTTGATTCTACCTGTTGATTTAACTCCGTATTATTTGCAGTGAAGCACATTGACCTCCTCACTGGGAATATTACCTGATTGGTGGAGGTAGGGGATGCTACTTACTTGTGATTTCTTTCACAAACAGAACATTTGTGATGAGTAACTTGATTTGAATTTAAATACCTTTCCTTGCAGTAGCAAGAAAAGGTTTTCTCACTGCAGGAGGAAAATTACACTGACAGGTTCTCTCTATAATTGCCTCAAACACTAATAAGAAAAGTACCTACTGAAAATCTCCACAATTCTAGGTAGCTCGGCATTTAGAAATAACATTCTCAGTCAGTCCCCGAGTTTGAATGTTAAGGCAATCACACAACATACTCTATGACCGTCAGATCTATGTTGAAGGACTGCCATCTGTCCATTATTCAGTGGGCATCACCTCTGACAGTTGATCATGATGCCACCCAACAGAAGGAGAGATCCCCATGGCCGGTCCCAGGCTCTGCTGCCATGAGAGTGCAGTGCAAAGTCAGAATGAAGTCATAAAGGAAAACCACATTGTCTTGCTGTATCCCTTTGGTAATGATGTTCTTTTCTACAAGCAGACTTTCCAGGAGTCTCCTAGGCTAGCAAAGTTGAGGCTTTTGGGATCTCTCCAGGCAAATCTCTCCACATGCTTACAAAGGAAACAAGTTCTCGTTGTTTAGAGAGCTAAGAAAACTGTTAAAGATAAAATGGATATGAACCTACCTCAATGATAGATAATCATGTGTTTATTACACTTTAAAGCTTATCTGGAAAAAGATAAGTTACACACATACATTTACACACACATACGCACATACACATGTGGATATATACATAAGTATTTAAGTTCTACCAGCTGATACTTTTCTAATATAGTCCTATGTCTTAACATAAAATAAGAAATAGAAGTGTTATATTCTTATTGTTCAAGTATCTGCATAGTTAAACAGAGAAACTGGTATTTTTTCAACATGTGTATCACTATTTGCCCAGAGTATATATTAAACATATCTATATCTATATATCCATATCCATATCTATATATCACAAGATGCTATGAAACTAGTCTGCTTCTTTAATGTTTAAGAGTAAAGCAATCAGTGGTTTCTTTGCAAAGTTTGAATGTGGACTTGAGTGAATCCTTTATCCTCTTAAAAGTTGGAACTTAAGATGTCTGACATAAACTTTGGCTAAATAGTGGAATATATATTTTAAGGACTGTATAACAGTTATACAATTAAAAACGAATTAAAGAAAGTTATAATCTGTTAAAGCATAGCGTCAGCTATAACTTCAAGTGTCATGGTTGTATTTTAGACTATAAAAAAGTGATTTGGTTTATAATTGACCAATAAACTTCCTCTTCTCTTTGATAGGAGACCAGAACTTTCAAACAGCATTTTGTTTATCAGGCATAATAATTTAATATTTAGACACCAGGCACTGTGACCTGCTTCAGGACAACAAATATAAGACTGTTTTGAACAACATCTAATGTTGCCTGATTTAAAACAAAGCTTACCTAGTGTAGACATAGAGTTTCATTAGCCAATGTTTGTACTGTTAGATATTTATAATTAATCTTTTGACGTCGTATTTCTTTTAGTTTAAGAGCCCTAAATGCCAGTTTTGATGTATATGCATGGTATAGATTCGTAAGATCTGAATTCTAGCCATGTTTGGCAACATTAATTTGAAACCAAGCTCCTGTTTCAAAAACTCACTATTTACCTACTAACCTATTCATCAGTCTATCAATTGATCAATTTACCTACCTCTACATCTTTATGGAGGTATTTGTATGTGTATAAACTGTACATATCTAAAGCGTACAATTTGTTAAGTTTTAAAAGGGCTTTATTGTGACATAACTGACAATAAACTGTGTTTTTCAAATTTCTTCTTTAATTTCTCTCAGTAATATTTTACAGTATTCAGTATAGGAAATCTTGAAAGTTTTTGTTAGATTTAGTCAAAATATATATATTAGGCCAATATCTATATACCTATATATGTATATGTATATGTATATCTATATCTATATCTATATCTATATCTATATCTATATGTCTGTGTGTGTTTATTAAATTTAGTCCCTATGTATATGTGTGTATATTAACCATTTTAAATGGGATTGTTCAAGTTCATTTTCTAGCTGTTTGCTGCTAGTATAGGAGAATACAACTGTTTTTAAGCACCAATCTAGTATCCCAAGACATGTTACATTCACGTATTAGTTCCACTAGTAGAATGCTCTGGGAATTCCCATGTAAACAAGCATATCATATGTAAGGAGGAACAGCTTTACAGTTAATTTCTGATCTCCTGCCTTTAATTTATTTTTCTCGCTTTCTCTTGGTTAAGATCTTTAGTAAAATGTTGAATAGAAATGGAAGCAGGTATTTTTGTCTTGTTCCTGATCTTAGGGGAGGCATGAAATGGGATATTAGCTATAGGTTATTCATAGGTGTCTTATCAGATTGAGGAAGCTTTCTACTTTTCTAGCTTTCTAGGAATTTTTATCATGAATATTTGTTGAATTTTTGTGTAATAGGTTTCTAGCTCTTTTTCCTCCTTTATTATTATTTTTTTAATATGGTGAATTATATTGATTGATTTTTGAAGGGTAGCTAATCTTGAATTTCTCATACAGATCAATGCATGATATATTACCCTTTTCTTATCTTGTTGGATTTGATTTGTTAATATTATTAAGGATTTTTGTGCCTATATTCATGAGATGTATTTGTCTACCCATATTCATTAGATATATTTGTCTATTATATTAATAAGGTATATTTGTCTACAATTTTCTTTTCATGTAGTGACTTTATCCATTTTTTTGAATTAAAGTCATACTGATCTCCTAAAATCAGTTGGACAATTTGTTCTTCTGTCCCTGAAAAAGTGTGTGTAAAATTTATATTACTTATTCCTGGAATATTTGATAGAATTCACTAACAAAACAACCTGGATCCAAGATTTCCTTTTTAAGAAGGCTTTTGATAATGAATTTAGCTTCTTTAACACATATAGATATTTTTGTATTTTGTATTTTTTTCTTGTGTTGATTTTGGTAAGTTACAATTTTCATGACATTTGTCTACTTCATTTTGTCATGTTTGCTGGCATAGAATTGTTCATTCATAATGGTCTTTTATTATCTGCAGTTATAACTGCTGTTTCGTTTATGATGTTGATCATTTATGTCCCCTCTATTTTTTGTGATCAGTCTAGGTAGGGGCTTATCAATTTTGCTGATCTTTGAGGCTTTAACATTACTAATTACTGACTGTCTCCATTTTGTTTCTTTCATATCTGCTTTTATTCTATTTTCCTTCTTGTACTTATTGTACAATTTCTCTCTATTTCTAATTTCTTAAGGTGCGACCTCATGAAGCAGGTTTTTAAAGTTATTTGTGTTCTCTAAGCACCCTTCCCTTACATCCCACAAATGTTGATATGTTGTCTCTTCATTATCATTTCGTTAAAAATATTTTCTAATTCCCCTTGATTTATTTTCCCTTTATTAAGTGCATTGCTTACTTTTCAAATTTTGTTTTTTCCTAGACATCTTGTTATTATTGATTCATAAATTCCTTTTGAATTTTTTTAATGTTTATTTATTTTTGAGAGACAGAGAGAGACAGAGCATGAGCAGGGGAGGGGCAGAGAGGGAGAGGGAGAGAGAGAGAGAGAGAGAGAGAGAGAGAGAGAGAGAGAGAGAATCTGAAGCAGGCTCTAGGCTCTGAGCTGTTGGCACAGAGCCTGATGCAGGGCTTGAACTCACAAGCCGTGAGATCATGACCTGAGCCAAAGTTGGACGCTTAACCGACTGAGCCACCCAGGTGCCCTGTTATTATCAAT